TTTCATCTGCTCAAAAGTACAATTTACCTGAGCTGAAGGAGGTCTGTAAATGAAATGCTAAATATTTCATTTGTTTCAAATTATCCTTCTGACATTTTCTTTGCTGCATAAAATTATGAGATAAATAAATGTGGATACTTAAAATATGGGGTTTTTTTTAGAAATAATACAAGCCTATGAGTATCGCTTAAGAACCTATTTGCTGGTTCTGGAAATGACCACTTGGCTATCTAATTCAAAATTTTTGCAAAACCATACATGTTACAAATTGTCCTGCTTAATAAATTGTATGAAAAGAAGAAAGCAAATTAATTACAAAAGCCATTTAAATGGTTTCATGTAAATATGTCTCATGGTTAAGTTTGAAATCTGTATATTAAAAATTATAATGTACTTAAAATCTGCTTCAAACATATATAAAACTGAGATACTACTTATTTGATTTACATAATGGATTTCTGCAACCAGGAATTGAGGCAGAATATTACTTGCATTAGTTAGGGGATCAGTTCTGCATTCCTTGTGCACTTAAGCTCACAGTGATTTTACTGAGAGTTTCAGATGCATAGGGAATGCAGGATCTGGCCCTATGATTTCTAGTAGCAAATGGATTGCAATTGAATTATAACTTTGGGTCTCCATCCTGCCCCCCTTCAAATCAATGGTCAAAATCTTAATGAACCTGAAGTGCACAATAACCGTGTGTGTGTGTGTGTGTGTGTGTGTGTGTGTGTAATTAAAAAAAATCTAGACTAGAGCATCACAGTGGTCTTTTCTGCCTTTTATAATTTATGGACTTCTCCCCCTGCTTCCCTCTTGTCAGAATTGGGAATGAGTAATGAAACCTAGCCATTTAAATTAGACTATTGGATAAGAATTACTTCTTAATATTGGGCATACTACAGAAATTGGAAGGCTGGTATAAATAAGATGTTATGATAATCCTATTAAATGCTTTAGCTTCTATCCTAAGAAAGTAAAGATTGGTTACAGTGTTAGGAAATAGCTTTGTAAATGATAACAGGGAAAACCAAGTGTGTCCTGTGAAAATTGGTTTCTGAATAGAAATAAGGATTTTGTCCACTGGGACAAAATGTAATTGTGTGCTATCTGAACAGTTCCTGGTTCCAGCGATCTGATACCTTACTGTTATAATTAAAAAGAATTAGCTTTTTTGTTGTTGGGGGAGGGAGGGGCTTTAAATTTAGCCTTCAGTTAAAAGAACAGTTTTCTTGTTTTCCTTTTTCCATCTTGCTTGCTGGGAAGTCCAATATAATTGGCCCTGAAGGGAGCTTTCAGTTATATCCTAAAATAGACTCAGCTTACTCGCTAGTATGCTCCGCTTTACAAACCACCGTTGCTTGGGAGGATGTTAAAGAAAAATTGTCTGTAAATAAATTGATTTAGTTTCCCTTCCATGAGCCCAAATCAGAACATTTCTATGCAGCAGGACAGTATACCTCAGAGAATGGTAATAAGCTATGGAGTTTATTACCCTTACAATAGGTCAGTAGTGCAAGTCTAGCCCTAATAGATGATGATGAAAACTTACTATCTGATAGACATTTAGTAGTTTACAGCTCTAGGAAACTGTGGTATCAGTACAGTTGCTGGTGGATAAGTTTCAGAGTAGCAGCCGTCTTTTTCCGCAAAAAGAACATGAGTACTTGTGGCACCTTAGAGACTAACAAATTTATTTGAGCATAAGCTTGGGATAAGTGTGTCTATCACAAAGCACACACCATGCTTGCTATTAATTAGCACACTTTTTAGGAAAAAAAAAACACCCCAGAGAGCCCAAACACTGAACTATCCCCCTCTCACCCATAAAGGTTAACCTTCAAATCTAAGGTTGAGTCTCATCAGTGGGGAGGGGGTGGAATGTGAAGCACTTTGCATTGCTACCCCCTCCTGCACTACTAGGTATGTGGTGAAAGAGAGGTCAGCTATGCCCAGCGCTGCCAATCAAAAGCTTTCACAAATACAAATTTCTCATTAATATAACAAGGAGAGTTAATTTCTATAGATGAGCTGGGTAAGTGAGATAACTTTGGGACTAAAATGCTAGTCCCAGACTTCTGAAAAAACTGAGCCTGTGAAGTGAGAGAAGCAGCAGGGCAGTTCATATTGTTGCAGTTAAATGGCCAAATTCACAATTGGCATAAGGAGTCAATGTTGGTTCAGACACACTGCTTATGTGTGTTTGTAATCAAGCGTGTAGTTATAAAGGGAACAATTATGGTGGGTGGATGCCCTGAGAGCTCCGATATGTGTGGCTAATATTCTTCCCTTGTTTAGTGATGTTTTGTGTATTTGATTAATCATGCGAACATGTTGTTTATGTACAAAAGTCAAGAAATTTGGAGTTGAGTGCCATGGCAACCTTTACTATCCCCCCCTGTGTACACATGCTTTATGATAGGATTGCTTGTATCATAGAATCATAGAATATCAGGGTTGGAAGGGACCTCAGGAGGTCATCTGGTCCAACCCCTTGTAATATGTGAGAGAGGGGAACTAGGAGCTGCAGTATGGTGCCAGAGAGCCTTGTTCCGTGGACTACTACTAACAAGAGTTAGGTCAGAGCTGAAAACCTTGCATTTGGACTTGAGCTTCCTGAGAATTCAGGTTTGGCTCAGGCACGTCTCTACTACTAATCAGGCTCAAACATATTTGAATGTTAAAATCAAACATAATCAGACAGGTTAGACTATCTAAACAACTAGATGGACATGGCTGCCTTTGGCCTCCATCATGCAGACACCTAAGCACATCCTTAGCTTTAAGCACATGAGTTGTTCCATTTAAATCAATGGACTTAAAGCATGGGCATGTTTTCAGGATGGGGACCTTTAATTGCACCTTCCTGTGACTACCACACTGTCTGTGCTAATACATCTGCATTATATGTATTTGAGTTTGATCTACTGTATAGAAGCTATATTGGCTTTGAAACAGAGTACAGTAACTCCTCACTTAATGTTGTAGTTATGTTCCTGAAAAATGCGACTTTAAGCGAAATGATATTAAGTGAATCCAATTTCCCCATAAGAATTAATGTAAATGAAGGGGTTAGGTTCCAGGGAAATGTTTTTCACCAGACAAAAGACTATATTTTTTATATATATATATATATATATACACACACACACACACACACACACACACACACACACACACACACACACACACACACACACACAGAGGGCCGGCTCCAGGCAACAGCTTACCAAGCAGGTGCTTGGGGCGGCCACTTCGGAGAGGGGCGGCACGTCCAGCTGTTCGGCGGACGGTCGCTCACTCTTGCTTGGGGCGGCCAAAACCCTGGAGCCGGCCCTGCACACACACGCGCACACACACAGTATAAGTTTTAAACAAACAATTTAATACTGGTACACAGTGATGATGATTGTGAAGCTTGGTTGAGGTGGAGGAGTCAGAGGGTGGGATATTTCCCTTACTGCTAAATGATGAACTAGCAATTGGCTGAGCCCTCAAGGGTTAACTCTCTCACTCTGGAAGGCAGCAGGAATGAAGAGAGATATGTGCATTTCTCTTAAGCACACTGCCTTGTTAATTAGATCAGCTTGCTGAGACCACAGCTGCTGCAAGCTCCCTCCGTCCTGAGCCCTGCTCTATGGAAGATGGGGTAAGCGGGGTGCAGGAGCAGGAGGGAGGGGGACACCCTGACATTAGCCCCCCTGTTCCCCGCACAGCAAGCAGGAGTCTCGGGGAGCAGCTCCAAGACAGAGGGCAGGAGCAGCACATGGCAGTGGGGGGAGGGACACAGCTGAACTGCATGCAGCTGCTCCACAGGGAACTTAGGGGAGTGGGGAGCTGATAGGGGGCTGCCGGTCCACCCTTGTTCCAAACCCCCACCAGCTAGCTGCAAGGGGCTGCTCTTCCTGCAAGATGTAGACAAAGCAGGCAGCTGCCAAACGCCATTAGAAGGGAGCATTACACAACTTTAAATGAACATGTTCCCTAATTGATCAGCAACGTAACAGCGAAACAACGTTAACTGGGACGACTTTAAGTGAGGAGTTACTATATGTCTAAAATGTGAGGGATAGTTTTGTAGTAAAAGCATGCTGAGCAGTGCTTATCCTATAGAAAAAAATCCAAATGATTTAGAGGGCACATATAAAATGTGCATACTCCTTGGAAAAAATAATGCAAAGTTTGTGAAGGTGACAATTATAACAATGCAAGTTTATAGCTACACAATACATAATACAAACTTTGTGCGTGTAAAAGATAAATTTATTGATGGAAAGATGTGATATACATAATTTAGTACAAGGAAACGATAAGCATTTTAAATATTTGAAAAAAATGAAATAAACGTACATTTTCCATCGTAAATGTTTTATATCTGATGCTGGACATGAAGAATACTGTATGACCATGAAACTGATTGTATGATATATAATACATTTCAAATGCACACAATTAAATTATGATTATTGGCTTTCCTTTTTTAGTTTCCTGTATCTGCATGGTAGAACAGAATAGTTAGAATATAATAATTTTAATATTTAATATATCCATTAAATGCCTGAAGAGCAGTTTTATTTTTCTTTGCGAACAAAGCCTTACTCTAAATCTGAAATCACCACTTTTTATGACCATTCAGTCCTACCTTAATAAAATACATTTACTAATACTAATGAATGCAAAGGTATCAGAGCTGGACATTAGATTTGAACAGCATCAAGTGCTAGTTTATAAGATAACCATAAACATCTTTAACAACTAAAAAGTCTTGTGTGAGTAACTGTGGTTCATTATATATTAAAACATCTTTGCACTTGTCAGAGTATACTGTCATAGCAATCACGTTTAAGAAAACTAAACATATATGTTACTCAGCTTCTGTTGTTCCTTTCATTTCTACGTTAGCAAGCTAGAATTGTAGGAGTTTTTTTCATAACTTTACACGTTTTCTTGGAGACTGTTTTATCTAACCTTTATTCCCCCTCTTCCTGGTTCTCTTTCAGATAGCAGTTCTGTGGATGAAAAGGTTTAAAATCACATATTTCCTTAAGGGGTTGTGTATTTTGTTGATGTTTGTTTGTGACTTATTTGATCTGTTTGGTTCCTTCATTTTAGTTGTGAAATGTGCATGTTTCCCAGCTTTCCATTCTTTTGTTCTCCTTTGAGTGTATTCCAGATGTGTTGCATTTATAAACAGGGTAGCCTCACTGTTGTGCTTATCTTATAAAATCATAGTTGCCAACACAGGGGGTCTGCTACTGTCAAACATGGTGTCTGGATTTTTGCCTCTGACTAGTTATCATCTACACTGCACATACTCTGGGATTTAAAGGGCAGCCATACTTGGGAGGCAATATCTGATATCTTCTCCGGGGTTTTACCAGTGTTTTTCACTAAATGCTGAATGCTAATCACATGTATTTCAAAGCAAAAATTAATGTAGCTTTGGCCTGGAGCTGACCCTGCTTGACATTTTTCATATTAGGTGTTATATGTACGATGCAGTTAAATTCTATCCAAAATCTCTTGGCAGAAACTGAGTAACTAAGCTTTTTTTTATTCTTCATTAAAGGCTCGAATAGTAAGTGGAAGTTCTTTGGATGCTTCCAAGTTTTATGCAATCCAGGCATTTGGCGGGTAAGTACAGTTATGACCATGAAGTTTGTTATATATGCAACGCTGTTTCTTAATATTATTCTTAATATCACTCTCTGAAGTTTATAATTGTGTTCAAATGTCCTGAGAAAATTGAACTTTTGCATTGTAACAGGAATATGAAATAATAGATTTCACTGTCCTACATCTTTTCCATAAGTCCTCCAAGACCAAAAGAAATTGATGAAATGTTCAGCTGGACAAGTTCACCAAGAATAAAAAAATTCTGTTATTTCAAATCTGTATACCGGTATATCAAATGTGCTTTTTAAACCCATACAGTATATTTCAGTCTTAAATCTGCATTTCAGGAAACTGACTGGCTTTGCAATATGCTTCTAATATTTGAGATCGAGAAAATGACAGGAAAAGTGTGTTGTCTTGTTGCTGAAGAAAATGAACATGGCAGCTTACACATTTAAGTCTATCTTATTCTTGCTGGAGTCATCTTAAATTCCAGTCTAGGGACTTCCTTCTCCTTTTCCTTCTGTCTTGAATCCCATTCTTCACTTCGAGTTGCATACCTTTTCTTTACAAAAAGTAATTTTACTGTGAAAGCATATGGATGCTGTATATCAGCTATACACTTCAAACTATCAAGAATTATACATTGTTCTCCTGCTAGTGTGGGCAGGCAGTTTTCCATGGTAACATTCTGCTTCAGATGTAAGGTACTGAGACAAAATTAGCTAATTTACCTTAAATGTTTCCCTTTGCTCTTCTTTGAGTTAAACTATATGATGTAGCCTAGATACCATTATTTTTTCACCTCAATTTCCTCTGCCCTCTTTTCTGGATACAAGGGAATAATTGAACTGCAGTTCATTTGTTTAATGTGTTTCTCAGAATGCTGTAGAAGAAATAATTACAGTAACACTTAACTGCAGTAGTTAATTTGGTTCGTTTACTTTATTATTATTATTATTATTATTATTATTATTGCTAGACAACTCTATACAGATAAATGAGCATCATCTAACTTTGAGTGGGTTAGTTAATTCCTGTAGTCTTTATCATGCTTTAGAAGTATTTTTTTCTTTTGCGGCTGGTAATAATTCCACCAAGACAACAAAAAATAGTAGTGAATGTTTAAAAATACAAATAATTTTAAAAGAGAAACATCAAGGAGAATTATTTTTGTTTATTTGAGGGAAATGATATATTTAAGTTGATTGATAACAGGTGAGAGCTAAAATTTTGTCAGGACCATATCTCCTAATCAACCATTCTATCTATTTCATCTAATCTAATCTAATCTAATCTAATCTACCATGCCAAAACATCCTTCTTCTCAGATAGGGCTTTCCAGTGCTCTCCTGCACTGGCTCTTCCCATCGCTCTGAAATTCTGTAGGAGCTAAAAGCAGTACGTATCTGATGAGACTTTTGCTTTTGATACAAAGTCTGTCTCAGTCCAGTGGCCTGGCAACACATTGGCTCTGGAAGACCCCAGGGTACCTCGAAGGTGGAGACTAGCTTAGCACGCCCAGATCTCTGTCCACAATGACCCTGCTTCTAGATACCATCTCCAGTTTCAGAGCTCAGTAGGTTGACAAATTATCCAATAGGTCACTAGCCAGAAGATTTAGCCTACTTGTTGGCAGTGCTCAAAGAACTTAGGCCTGGTGTGGGTGGAGAGTTGAAGTATCTTGGAAGTTCCAGGCGTGTAACAATTTGGAGAGATAAATAAAGGTGCTCAATTTTTGTGTGGACAACGTTTAAAAAAATCAGTCTGTGCAATTATTGCACAATTTTCAGCTTCATTATTTTGCAGCAGAGGATTGATATATTTACAGTAGATGACAAAAATGCCAAGATATTAAAAACTTATAAAAATGAAGTGGAGAGATCTCTATTGCAGAGGCCACAAAACTCTTGACCAAACAAATCATATGCCACCAGTCTCATAAATGTTTGCTATACTGGACTTTTAGAGATATTTAATTCACTTGTTTCTTTATTCTCGGCAGTATTTTGAGTGTTGGACAGCCTCCTACGTTCACCATCTGGATTCTATGATCTTTTAGGCTGTATAAAGTAACAGAGGGTCCTGTGGCACCTTTAAGACTAACAGAAGTATTGGGAGCATAAGCTTTCGTGGGTAAGAACCTCACTTCTTCAGATGCAAGTAATGGAAATCTCCAGAGGCAGGTATAAATCAGTATGGAGATAACGAGGTTAGTTCA